ATATAACCCCCCTTTAATGAGTTTAGACTATAGCTCATGTGGCCTCTAAGGCTTCCTTGAGGCGATTTGCCTTGGACTTTCGAGGCCTCGGTGACAGAGTGGCCCAGATTTCCAGCAAAGTTCTCAAGGTGTTAGGGTTTAGGGTTTAGGGTTAGGGGTCAAACCTTTTTGGGGGATCCTTGAAAAGGACTATAGCATTTTGGGAACTATGTTGTATATTGGGGTCCCCTATTTATGGAAACTACCAAATACAAGTCTTACTCGAACCAAAAGAAAAAGGTGGACCATCCCCTATACCTTGCTAGCCCAGTAACCATATTACAATAAGGGTACCCTTTTTTCTGTTGGTATATTATATATGGGAACCNNGGAACCCAAAACCCAAAAAGGGTAAAAGGGTACCACTGGGGTTCTTCCTAGATACAGAAGAAAGCCAGAACTGGTACCTTCCCTCCTCCCCCTGCCGCCAAGATCAGGCGAACTGGCTTCATTTTGAGTATGCATTGACAGTTATATGAGCTAGAGTCTAAACTCCTTCAAGGGGGTTATATAGGAGATTACAGGAGTATTAAAGGGGTCAATAAGGAGGATACTAGGAGTTTAGACTATAATATGCATGTTATGAAGATAGCATGTATGTATCACGCCCATGGGCATATGAATCTATCTGACATGCGTGGAGGTTTGGTTTACGGAAACAACTAGACTTCTCACGTGTCCACAAGCTCTGAAGGACATACCGGGCGCGTGGCTTCTCCACAGAAGCCTCAACATGACTCCGATGTGGGCCGTGCAAACGGTTATGACCACACACTCACTTCATGCCTTTCCCTGGAGCAGTTGAGAGCACTTTTGTCAACCAGCCTGTCCCTTTGGGCTGCCACATTAAACGAGACCAGATGGTGCCTTCGCCTGGTGAAGCCTTTCGCTTCGCGAGAGGCAAGCGATGGCGTGAGTGCTGGACATTCTGCTTGGTGGCAACGTTGGCGCTCGCCGTCAGCACGGGAATCCGCAAAACTAAGAGCGTATGAGAGGGTAAACAGGTACTGGTTGAGTGATGTTGAGTGGCTAACACATGCCAAGTTTCTGGGCGGTGTCCAGGCTGTGGCGACGCTGGTGAACTAACGAACTACTCAAAGGCCACCCAGCTTCTTGCGGATGAGTTCCAGCAGATCCTCCTTGACCATGCCACAAGTTGGATATTGAATGCCAGCGTCGGGATTCCCAACCAGAACGTGCTCGAAAGATGACTTCGTGATTGGTCGGTATAGAACACCCGAGGCCAAGGGGTTGGAGTCAGACTTCAGAAGCATCTGCATTGACTCGTCCAAGGGCCCAAGGCTCTTCACATCGTGACAAATGAAAGCGAGGGCCTTGGAATTCCTTTCCCTCAGTCGAGAGGCAATCTCTGAGAAGATAGTAGGGCCAACTTCGGAACTGCAGAGGAGAATCCCATACGCTGGCTGCACAGTCAGCGCCATGCGTGTCGCGTCCATTGTGCTGACGGCTAGGTCGAAATCGAATTTGGACCGTCGCAGCACCTCCTGTGTCTCCAGTTGAAGTTGGAAATTGTTGACGGCCTTCGTTGAGCTGGCCACAGCTGCGGCGACTGCACTTTGCACAGCAGATGCGGTCGGAGCAGGTTCCAATACCAGCACACGAGGCTTCGCAAATGCCATGTATCTTAGGCGAGATGCGAAACCGATCCCACCCGTCCGAGGACCAGACGGATTCTCGCTAAAGATGAGCTCGCCTCTTGCGAACATCAATAGCCAAGGAGCCTCTCGCACGCCATAGTTTGTGACTAAAGGATTGGTGTTCTTCCCTGCCGAGAAGATCGCCCCAGCTTCTGCAAGGTCCGTAATGCAAAACAAGACGTTATCTCCGGCTGCCTTAAGCTCAGACCAGGCAGCCTCCGCCATGATCTGGGCATGGGAGCTGGAGCTGTACTGAGACTTTCGAGCCCAGCTGGCCACCACCAGAACCACCATCAACTGCCCTGCCTCCAGGCTCTGAGCGCGCCCTGTCACATCGTGGCAGGAGATGTGCTCCAAAGAGGCTGGTGGAGTGACGACCACAGGCTCAGAGTAAGGCTTTCCTGGATGGGGCTCAGGCCACAAGAAACCTTCGCGCAAAGCCTTGTTGATGGGCAAGCGAGCCAACTTTGGATGGATCTTGTCCGCCAGATTCTTCTTGAGGAGATGGTCGTGCGTAAAGTCTATGCGCCCTTCGGTGAATTTCTTGAAGGCTTCTACTGGAAGTCTCATCGTTCCTTCAGAAGCAGATTTGTTCAGCTTGCTGCTGGAGGGCGAGCTGCCCCCGACTGAAGTTGTGAGGCAAGAGCTGCTGCTCTTGAGTTTCACCGTCTTGTCAAGCAAGCCTGTGCTTTCCGTCATGATCAGACATGAGGTCTCAAGGGATGCCTGGGAAGACATATTGATTGCACTGCTGACCTCACGTGGATTTGTTGTTGCTGGCAACGACAAGCCCCCACCTCGGGAGGCAAGCTTCCAGACCTCACCGATATGGAATGTGTAGCTGATTCCTCCACAATTGAAGTCCAGAGAGGTTGTTCCGCTCGCCGGGTTGTAGGTCACCACCAGCTCCGGACACAAACGCAAACTGAGTGGATCAAGGGAGGTAGTGTCACCTGCAAGTGCTGCGCGGCTCATGCGTGTTCTGGAACCATTCGGACCAGATGTGACGACTGTGACATGAGTAGGCGTGACCTCGTAGCAGCCACGACAGCCGGCACCATCTGGCGGTGATTCAAAAAGGCCAACGCCCCACTCGTCCATGACTCCCAACAGCCTAGTTCGACCACGGCGGTCTCGCTTTGAGTCGTCAGGACTGGAAGCACGGAAGTGTGGAGAATTCTCTGAGACCGCGCTCTTCACGGAGAACTCGGAGCGGGCGTATGCAATGGCACTGATGCGCCTCGACTGATGGTGAGACGATATGCAAACAGCCTTCTTGCCGGAGGGGTAACTGGCCACCCCAGTACCATCCTCCTGACACTGCACTGCGGCCAGTCCTTCTGGGTATGCCAGGCTGACCAATGGAAAGATGGGTCCCAAATCTGCGCGAAGATCACCGTGCTGAGCAGACCATTTGGGGTCATTCGGACGGCGAGGCTCAAACTGCTCGCCAGCAGCTCGCCGCCGTGGCTCAAGGATCTTTGACTTGGACATCACTCCACAAACATTTCCGTGGACCTTGCCCGCGAACTACAACTATTGCTTCAGAGCCACCTAGCTTTTGGCTCCGGGCACTACCTTGAGCAAAGTAGAAGTCCACGGTAGGTGTCCTTGGGAACACTTGCATGCAGGTACCAAGAGCTGCTCAACACCATTTCTTCTTGGTCGTCTGACAGAACAGCCGCTGACTTTGTACATGCATGAGTGTTTTCTTGATAGCCAGGGTCCCCAACACACAGCCCTAATTATTCCCTAACTATGTGCCGATTACAAAGAGTACAGTCAGCTGAATGCTGCAAAACTTCCCACATTAAAGGTTGCTATATAATTTGGGAGCCCACAAACTGGAGCCCAATCTATTGTAGCCCTTATTTTAGGGACCCCCAGCGGCATCCCTTTTCCTTGAAAACCCTGAGTCATGTAAACCACTAAATAATCACAGTTTCCATTTCATTTCCTAAATTTTAATGTCAAACACGATTTTTGTAAAACTTCCCCATCTCATCGCAGCGCTAGCCTCTGCTATCTCCTCGGCTCCAGCAGTTTCCTCTTCCGCCTCAGCTTCCTCCTCGCCAGATATGAGGAGGTTGTCAAAATTACGACCCATAATCCATTGGGGAAATATTAGGGTAATATTAAGGTAATAGTGGGGTTAGGGTTTAGGGTTATATTGGGGTAGTATTAGTGTCATATTTGAATATTTGGGTTATATATCTGGACCTCAAAATGGACCACAAGTTTGAGAACCTACCGTATCTTGCCATGGGATACCAAGGGGCCCTGTTGTATGACCAACAATTTTTCCATACTCACCTATAAACTTCATGCGTTTGTGAGGTGGCTACGGGCATCTTTCTTGAGAAATCCCCATGTCTATTTGGACTGGAGATGCGACGTGCAGTGGAATCCAAACTCCCTTGCTACTGCCTTGACTTTTAGTAAAGGTCCTCACATGCTGACTATGTAGGTATTGCTGGAATGATATACGGGTCTCCAAAATCATAACAGTCACCAAGCCGCAGCCCAAACCATCTGGCGCTTTTTACATTGATTACTTTGACTGGCTTGACTTCCTATCTGCGCTGCAATCTAACCGCGCCGCCGCCCACACGACTGCGAAGCAAAAGCCGTTGGGGGGCATGGAGAGAAGGTTGTTGAGAGGAGGGGGTGGATTCAAGCACCCGGTGGACTGTTGGCACTGACCCAACGCTCAGCTCCTCGATGTTGCGTTGCAAAGTTGCATAAACCCTACCGCACCCATCCGCTCTGGGCACTTCGGCTTGCGATTGCCATGCTCCGTTTCTGATGTCGCTGTAACTTTATGAAAGCACTGATGGCCCTCACAAGACGATTGAAAGATCACTAGCTGATGCCAAAATCTGGATCGGCAACATTTCCCTAACAGCAGATGTTGTTGACCATTGCATGGACAATGCAAAATTATGACATGATCTGGAAGTAGTAGTAATGTAGCGGCCGATCTACATAGAACGAGGTTTTTAGGTATACTGTAACTTGCTAGTCGTTATTTCAAGGATGAAATAATCTTGGTAATTATGCAGGCTTCTACAATACCATTACTGCACTCCCTCCTGGCACAGGTGGCGCCAAGCACTAGCACCAACCTGACCCAATGCGAGCTTGCCTAAATGCGTGTCCACAAATGAGGGAAACATGCATCAAAAACCTTACCATGGTAAAGCCCGCATTGCCACCTGAAAATCACACATCCAAGCCTATGTCGCATACCACCATTATTTCCAGTAATTCCCGTGTTCTTGTCCATTATCCCTATAGAACCTCAATACACTATAGTAGTTTCCATTATGAGCCATTGCCTAAACTCCTAGAATCCCCTTAGTAACCCTTGTAGTAGTCCCCTTTATAATCCCCTATATATCCCCCCTTGAAGGAGTTTAGACTATAGTTCATATATCCACTACCACAAGGCTCCTCCTCTTCTTCCTCCTCCACCGGTTCCTTCTCGGCTGCCTGCTGATCCGTGCCCTCTGACTACTTCTGAAAAAGGAAGATGCCACAAAAACATTGCATAATTCCCCATACTCCCCATGAAATCCCTGCATGTACAGATTCTTATGACCTCAACAAGGAGGCGCAAGGTACTGCTCCAAACATGCGGTTGACTGAAACTCTGCATAATGGAAAATGAAATGGAAACTACTATAGTATAATAGGGTTTATATAGGACTTATAGGGTTTATATTGGGGTTATATTGGGATAATGGAAAATAAAATGGAATGGCCTCCTGAGCCGGCTTTGCTTTGGCTTTTGGAGCCTTTTTGGAGCCTTTCTTGCCCTGCGCACCGAATTTCCAACGTGCAGCACGATGGAAAAGCAAGTCTTGCCTGTTTGGGTACGCACACACGGCAGTTCTGGTAAGCAGATGTAAGAAGAGCACTGTGGGAGATTTTCGGATTACTAGCGCGAGATGGCAATGTTGCTGCTGCTGTTGTCAGGCTGCATCAGAACCAGCTTTAGACATGCCATCCTGGATATGCTCTGACTGAACTATGGCATTCATTGCTGAGAGGTGACAAGGAGCGTCTGTGTGCTGCTTTGCACATGCGAAGGTTCAAGGAACGCCAGGCAAAAAAAACATGTCTCCGCAGGACTGTTGAGCCAGCCTTCTTTGCAGCTTTTACCTTTGGCATTGCGATCGCCTCCGCTGGAACGGTAAGGTGATGCTTGCTCACTCTCCAGTATATGCCTGTATATCCTTCCGGTCTACCAGAGCTGACGGTGGAAGTCTAAACAGTAGTTTCCATCTTAATTTCCAATTTCCCCATATAACCCCAGTATACCCCCAATCTCTGAAAGGATTATTTTGATATATAACCCCAATATACTAAAAAGTAGTTTCCATTTTCTTTTCCATTATCCCTATATAACCCTATATTCGATCTACTTAAGCCCTAAGCCCTGAACCCTAAACCCTAAATCCTAAAATCCTAAGCCCTAAAATCCTAAATCCTAAAACCCTAAACCCTACATTACCCCAACAGCTGGACAAAATCACACACGTAGTGTCTGGACCCAATAAGCGTGCTCCGTGCCGCTCGGGGCTCTTACTAACGCAGAAGCTGAAAACCTGTTGGGAGAAACACTGCATAAGCTGCATACATACATATATATGACCATACACACACATATATATATATACATATACATATATATGTATACACATATATATATATTTTTTTTCTGACCCTTTGTATATGTATATATATATATATGAATGTGTATAGATACACACAGGCTAGCTGCTAGCTTCTAATATGTCTTCTTTTCTCATCATCTTATAGTATGTTTTGATTACTTGGATGTCCTATATCTTATGCATCCACCATCAGCCTCAAAGCGAGACGAACTGTGGCGCCAAGGTTTTTCAGCTGCAGCTAGGCAGGAGAGACTACACGTTTGCTTGCTTCATGCTCTAGTAACTGGTAGGTAGTAGTGGCTGGCTGCAAAGTGGAGAATGTCTGCGCTGCTTGCAGCACCATATGCTTTGAGGTGGACTCTGAGCTGCCAAGGGTTGCTGCCAGGTGCGCTGCTGACAGGTACACAAACTGCAGTATGGAGCAAAAAGGCACGGCATGGCATGGCGAAGATGGGGACAGACTCTAAGCAGGTGTGAACTTTCTGCTAGTGATGCGAAGCACTAAAACGGAAGCCTAAATAAGTACCATAATTTTCCAAACAACCTGGAATCATGAGATTGATAAACCCTAAACCCTGGTGGTTTCTGCGGCATTGTCCCAGCAACCTCGCCATCTGCTTCGGCAGCGTTGCCCCCAGCACCTGGCAGCAAGATCAGCACGCTGGTTTCAGGCCTAAATAATTAAGCGCGGGAGGGATTGTATAGAGGTTGTACATATATGTAGGGTTAGTATAGAGGTTAGATAGGGAATATTACCCCAATAATGGAGAATCAAAATAAAAGGCACGCTACTGTCGGGGGTTCAGGGTAGGAAATGACGGAATGGAAAAAAACATGGAAACAATACCTTACTGCAGATGAAATGGGAGCTACTATAGGGATCCGTTCCTCTAGTCCCTAACTACCAGCAAATTCAAAAGAGAGATCTCTAAACCCCAAACCCCTAAACCCTAAAACCCTAAACCCTAAAACCCTAAACCCTAAACCCAAACCCTAAAACCCTAAACCCCTAACGCAGCTGGCACCTTTCGGTTTGCAGCAGAAGGGCTGATAGTCGAAGTTGCTCGAGCGAACCTGACATTAGCAACCCAACTGCATTGCCCTTCAATAACATTGAAAAAACAATAGGGTTATGTAGGGGTTGGCGTTTTGTCATCAGAATATGGATGTATCGTACCCAGTATGGTGTCCTTATACTTTATAAGATAATGTGAACTTGATCTACGTCCCTTAACAGCTAAAGGAAGTGCACCGTCAGGCTTACTCTGCCAGGGCCTTGTTGGCCTCTTGAACCTGGCTTTTTGCCTTGCAGGCAGAGGGATTTCTATTCGCTGTTGGGGTCGAAGACCTTGCAGCTGTGCCTGAGGTTTGGCGTTGTTGAGGTCCACTGTGTGATCCAACCTGGCACTTGGCTACGCTTAACTTAAAATGGGGGTTTCCCAAAATCAGGGGTACCTTATTGGGGGTCCCCATAATAAGGAGTACAATATATTGGGGTCTATATTATTGAGGTCCCCTTATTTTGGGAAACTACTAAATCAACTTGGAGCACATGCTTCTTGGAAGACAGGGCAGCCTCAGCCCACTCGCCCTTCCGTGGAACCCCCAAACAGGAGCGGATAAGTTGGGAAGCCCCCTATGCATGCAGTCGATGCAGCAAAAAACCTGCCAGATTCACAGAGGATCCTCGTTGTAGAACAGAGGCCTTCCCAAGAAATCGGCATGATATTCTGGGGAAAGCACCTGGGCAAATACAAGAAGCCAGGTAGTGGCTCATCAAAGCAGATGCTCCCAGAAAGGTCAGCTTCGATGGAC